GAACAGGCTCCTAGTGTTGTGTTGGGTGTTGTAAAAAGGTTCCTAAATGTGAGGATTCCACATGGCATAACTGAGACGTGAATGAATCTGCCCATGTATCTGAGCCAGCCCACCACGTCTGTTGTAGTATTACCTTTCACTGTTTAATCTGCCTCTCAGACTGCAGGCTCCCTAGAAGGCCATGGATGGAAAGGATTTATCTCTTTCCTCATGCCTTTGCAGCGTCTGACGCACAGAGGACGCTCAGTCTATGTTGGCTAAAGGGCACTGAATGATCACCAGGAGAGCAGCTAATACTGGCTCCACAGAACTTGGGCACGGAGTTCTTGGGGAGCAGCGGAGGGAAGGGCATAGTTGTACAGGGTCGGAAAATCTTCCTGCATCATACTGCATGTGTGTACAGGGATGGAATTTTCTAGAAGGATATGCTGGGTTCTTAGCTAACATAGTAGGTAGTACTTTGACTAAATAGGCTTCCGTTGTAGTCTGCAGTGATGGTTAAATTATTATTTTTTTCAGGATAAAGCACATACATGTGCATGAGAGAGAGAGAGGAAAAAAAAAAAAGAAAGAGAAAGAGAGGAGAGACCCACACCCAACGGGGCTGGGCCACGCATGAAGCTTTCTAGCATACGGTTGGGGACATGGGCTCTGGAGCTGGGCTGCCCGACTTTGAATCTTGTTTCTGCCATTTACCAACCGTATGGCATTTGGGAAGTTACTTAAGCTCTTAATGCCTTAGTTTTCGCATCTGTAAAATAGGAGGTTGTTACACACTTCTTAGATTCATCTTATGAATTAAATGATATAAAACATATAAAAGTTAGGGCAGAGCCTGACACAGAACAGATGCTCATTAACGTTAGCAACTGTGATTATTTGCCTTCTCTGCTCATTCCCTTTTTCGGCCTTGAGTTTTCTTTCTCTTTCCTTCCTTCCACCCTTCCTTCCTTATCTTTCTTTCTTTCTTTTTCTCTTTCTTTCTTCTTTTTCTTTCCTTCTTTCTATCACTCTCTCGCTCTTTTTTTTTTTAATTTAAGTTTTGCTTTAGGGCACACACACTCACTGGAGAGAGACAAAGAGAAAGAGAGGGAGGAAAAGAAAGAAATCACCTCCCGGGGGGATAGCCATGCCGCAATCCCTCCTCATCCATTCTCCTCTTGGGAATTTGGGCTCGCGCACACATGTGCCTGGCACCTTTTTTAAAACCGCTGTGTGCAGGACTTGAACAGCTCAGTTGGTCATGTGGGATCCAGTTGTCATAACCTTCACACCACCCGCTGCTCCATGCCTCAGTCTTGCTTATTTCCTTCCCTCATGTCCTGTAATGTGCACTGACCTGTGGACAGGCAGGAAATACATGAATGAAGTGTACAGAATAGGTTGGATTCTATGCAGTTCCAGGTGCAGAAGACAGCCAGCGTCCTCTCTCTGTATTCACCAGCCTCATCTGTATATGCCTAACACTGTGTCTTTTTATAAGGCAATTCTTTTTAAAATTTTTTTCTTATTATTTTTTAATTTGACTGGACACACACACACACACACACAGAGAGAGAGAGAGAGAGAGAGAGAGAGAGAGAGAGAGAAAGTAAGCTGCCAGGTGTGGGACTCAAACTGTGGTTGGCCATGTGGGAATTCAGTGCCTCAACCAGCACGTCACCTGCTGGTCTCTCTACAAGGCAATTCTTTTATTTTTTGGAGAGGTTTTTGTTATAGGGCATGTGTGCTCGCCAGAAAGAGAGAGACAGAGAGACAGAAAGCGAGACATGACCCCCGGGGGGATGGCCATGCCACAATCTCTTCTCCTCCATTCTCCTCCTGGGATCTTGGGCACTCATGAGTTTAAGCCTCCGGGTCCAGGACTCAAACCACAGTCGACATGCCAGTCCAATGACATAGCCATTATGCCAACTGCTGGGCCCCTCAAGGCAATTCTTGTGAATCTAGGCGCAGACCAGCAGGTGGTGTGGTTGGTTAAGGCACTGCGTAATGCAAAAATGGGGCCAAGTGGGGGTGTAGTGATAACCAAGTGAGCCCACGTGGGAAAGGTCCTGGGTTCACACATGCGTGCTCATGATCTGGGCTGGCTGAGACTGGAGGGGGAGAGTGGCATGAAGACCTTGCATCTGGGCTGGCTGAGACTGGAGGGGGAGAGTAGCATGAAGACCTTGCTGGGGTGCTTGTCTCTCATCACAGAATCTGGGCTGGCTGAGACTGGAGGGGGAGAGTGGCATGAAGACCTTGCTGTGGTTAAGGTGGCTGGATCCCACATGACTCATTGCACAGTTCAAGTCCTGGACCCAGTGGCTTAAAATACACACTGGACATGTGTGTGTGCATGCCCAAGATCCTGAGACAAGAATGGAGAAGGAATTGCAGTGTGGCCACCCCTCTGGGATGTGCTTTCTCACTTTCCCCCTCTCTGTCGATTTCGGGTGAGCACATGTGTGCTGTAGCAAATTAAAAAACCACAGGGCCAACAGATGGTGTGGAGGTTCAGGCAGCTGGATCCCAAATGACTGACTGTGCGGTTGGAGTTCCAGACCCTGCAGCTTAAAAACACACCAGGCCCGTGTGCATGTATTCCCAAAACCCTGAGAAGAGATGGAGGAGAAGGTATTGTGGCATGGTCATCCTCCCTGGGGGGTGATTTCTCACCTTCTTTCTTTCTGCCCCTTTCCAGTTGTCATATAGGAAACTAGAAACAAACAAAAACAAACCCCCTACCCCCCAAACAACAACAACAAAAAGCACTGTGGACACTAAATAGCCAAAAAAAAAAATTATTGTGAAATTCCTTACTCTGAATTCTGAATTATTAGATACTCCATCAAGACGTTCTTATCTCATTTCTTTAGCAACGATCACTTTGTGACATACTATTTGCTAATTTCTGCGTTTAGTGTCCATTGTCTGCAGTAGCCTGGAACAAAGCGGGGATCTTGGTCTGTTTTGGTCACCGATGTATCTCACTTTTTGCACAGAAAGTGCCAGACATATGCTAGCGAGCAGGTGCTCAACTATTGGTTAAATGAGTAAACAGTAATAATGGTGATAATATCTCACCCCAGGAAGTATCAACTGCATTTCTTCAAGCCCTAAGGGAAGAACCAGACTTGCTAAGAATAAAAGGGAGAGTAAACGAGCATGGCAATATTTTTTGAATACTTACAGCAAACGAGTTTCGTTTTGCTGCCCTGACTCATTCTCCCTTCTTGTCACTTTCAGTACCCCATCTTCCCTTGTGAGACACCCTTCCTCTCCCCATTCTCAGACACTGGAGTGCCAGCTGGCCCAATGGCATTTCATTTGAGCATGGGCATGTGACCTAAGATGGTTCACATCCAATTCTGGAATGACTCAGGAAAGAGAAGCTAGTGGCCATCTTACCATCACCAAGAAAAGGGTCATCTAATAGGAAGCCCAGGAAAGCAGAGCTCAGATATGGGCGAGTAATCACAGTCCCACCTTGCAGAACAGGGATGAGGGCAGCCAGGACAGTGAAACCCGAGAACTCTGCGTTAGCTGAGGTTAAGAATGGAACTCTTGGGGACTGGCAGATGGCCTAATGGTTACGTCGCTGGACTCTCATGTAGTCGACTGCAGTTCAAGCCCTAAACCTGGCGATTTAAAACTCACTCTGGGTGCGTATGTATGCATGCCCAAGAGGCTGAGAGGAGAATGGAGGAAAAGGGATCGCGGAGTGGCCATACCCCCTGGGGGGTGATTTCTCACTTTCTGTCTCTCTCTGTCTCTCTGGTGAGCACACGTGCTCTATAGCAAAAATCTCTCTTATAAAAAAAGAAAAAAAAAAAAAAGAGGCTGATTCTCATGCCCTCCGTAGTCCCTGCTAGTCTACAGCACTAGACAGTGTTGTCATCATGAACCCTGGAAGTATTTGGTCTCTTTTCTGTTGCTATCTTTCCACATTACTTCTTTTTTTCTTCTTTAGATACCCTTTTCTCCTTCATTCATAATAGAATATGCCTGCACACGGGGGAGCGAGCGAGCAAGAGCATACACCCCAAGGTATGATCAAGACACAATCCCCTTCCTCTAGTCCTTTTGCCCACTGGGTCTTGGGCACCCACACATGTGCCTAGCAGGTTTCAGACTGTGATTCGAATCATGGTCACCATGCGGGACCCAGCTTCACCTGAGCAGTGCATTACCACGGTGCCATGGAGCTGACTTGTATCACTTCTACCAAGGGTCTGGGATGTTGTCCTGCAGGGGAGCGGGAAGGATTCTAGATCTTTCTATGTCAGTCTTCTTTAAATCCCTGCCCTTTATTTCCAGTGCAGTTTATTTCCCTCTGAAGAGGGCAAAGAATGGGTGGGAAAAGGACCCCAAACCAGAGGGCTGTGCTAGAAATAGAAGTCAACTCGTGGAGCATTTAGGGAGCACCTTCCATGCTCCAGGCTGTGTTAGATGCTGGGGCAGGAGGGAGATTGCAAAGATGGACAAATTACATCTGCACTGCAGGAACTCTCAGTACTCTTAAGCAGAAACGAAGCTGAGCTTGGGGGATCAATGAACTCTCAGAGAACCGAAAACAAGGCCGGATGTCCAGAAGAGAATTTATAGTAGACTTCTTAGTAGTTAGCTGAAGAATCAGTCTTCTCCACAGTACGACTATCCACTCTACCACGCTACAGCGGCAAAACAGTAACAATTATTGTAGCTACTGTCAAGAAAAGTAAATGATATTTGCCTGCTTTATGAGGTGGTTCAAAGTTACCCTTTCTCCTCTCTGTTGCCTGTGCCCCACCACCCAAACCAGGCACCCAACTGGTTTGTCCCTGATGGCTGGCTGTGATTACTGTCCTAATTTGTTCTTTCTTCATCTGCTACAAACTGCCTATTTTCTGTCTCTTCTGATAAAGCAGGAGCTCTGAGGGACTTCTGAAGCTGTTTTTGTACCATGCAGAAGTGTATTAACTGGAATTCCTGTGTATGTGTCTATAAAACCCCTCGTCTTCTCAGTGTGAGATCACCTTCAGGAACGGCGTCATGTCGATGTGCAGCTTGCGCGTGTAAAATTCTTTTCCGTTTGAACGTATCAGCCCTTTATTTATACAACTTTGAGGCTCTCCTGTCTTCGGAGCTGCTGCTGCCAAGGACTGCTGGGCTCCCTATGAAGAGAAGCAGAAAGCCCAACGTTCATAGGAATGATATACAGCATGCCAAGAAGCAGTCCAAACCCCCCAATATTTATAGAAGCAATTTCTATCGTTGGAACACTAATGGCAACACCTATTTTTAACCACTGAAGACACAGGGAGCCCATACGTATAGAGAGTTACCCAAGACTTGCTATTAATTAATATCCGGGGAAGTGGAAAAAGGACCTTCCTAGGTCTCAGGGTTGTAATGATTTCATTTAATCCTTACAACAATTCCAGTGAGACAGGAATTGTTACTCTCATTTCACAGATGAGGGAACTGGGAGGCTCGTTTGGCTGATACATGCAGAGTTGACGTTGTCATTTGTCCAAGACTCCCCCTTTTTTATTTTTTAAAGTTGATTTATTTCGTCCATGTATGTGTGTGTGTGTGTGTGTGAGAGAGAGAGAGAGACAGAGATACAGGGAGAGAGACAGAGAGACAGTACCCCCAACAAGGTCTTCACTTTGTGATCAACCCTGCCTCAGCCAGCCTGCATCACAGGCAAGCGTGTGTGCCGATGTCTACAGGGAGGCCTCAGGACGTGAACCTGGGAGCTTCCCATGTGGGTCCAGCAGTGCAGAGCATTACATTACCACTATGCCACCGACTGGCCCCAAGACTTCTTTCATGATGAGAAGTTTTTTTAATGCCAGAGGGTGTGTGTGTGTGTGTGTGTGTGTGTGAGAGAGAGAGAGAGAGAGAGAAATTATCTTCATTAAGGCCTAGTCATACCATAATCCTTTTTCTTTCAATTCTCCATTCTGTCTGGATCTTTAGTAGGTACACATGGACCTGTACTATTTCTCAAGCTGCCACAACCAGGACTCGAATCCTGGTCAGCCCTGTGGGATCCAACTTTTCTGTTTGCAGTGCTTAACCTCTGTACCATGGGGCTGGCCCTAATGAGATCTTTTTTTTTTTTTTAAGAATTATTTATTTAATTTTATTTATTCATTTTAATTTGATGAGAGAGAGAGAGAGAGAGAAAGAAAGAGAGAAAGCTAACAAAGCCAGGACTTGAACCGTGGTTAGCCATATGGGAGTGCCCAGTGCCTTAACCACCACGCCACCTGCTCGTACCCACCTAATGAGATCTTTTTGATACTTTCAAAGCTGCCACGAATGGTTAGCAAGTATGCCTTGGAGAAAATGAGGTTATAGCAAGATTCTGGTTTATTCCCAAACTGAAAATGTATTTGATGTGTTAGGAAGACTGATTTGAACAAATGCAGCAAAGAGGGAAGGAAGAATGGGTTAATAGAGAAGTCAGGGAGACCTCAGGGGCTCTGGGATCTTTGGAGCCAGGCTCTCTTGAATCATTCCAACATGCAAATGCATCATTTTCGTTTCAGAACTCTACAAAGTTGGTCTGAAGTTACCCTGCAGCCTACCCTGCAACCTGGCTGATCTTCACCATTCCTCCGCTCAAAGACTTCGAAGGCCGCTGCACTCAGGATGAAGGCCAGCTGCTTAAAAAGTTTACAAGGCCTGCCCTGGAATATCTCTCCTGCCTCGTTCAGTCATTCAACAAGTATTTATTGGGTGCCTTGTCCATGCTAGGCAGAGTAGATCCGGCAGTGCGAGAAGCAGCAGACAGAAGTCTCCAATCTCATGAAGCGTGCACATGCGTGCCACTGAGAGGGCAGCGAGGATAACAAGGGGCATATGTACATGTGGACCCAAAATCCCAAGAGGAGAATGGACGAGAAGGGATTGTGGCATGGCCATTGTCCCTGAGGGGTGATTTCTTGCCTTCTGTCTCTCTGGTGAGCACATGCGCCCTATAGCAAAAATCTCTAAAAAGAAAGGAAAGTTCTTTGTTATTTTTCGGGGTTGATTTGCTGGGGTCACATACATTAGTGTACTATGAGATCACCCTGGGTGTGGATCTGATCATTTCCATATTTTCTAGACTAACTCTTGGATGTCCGTCTCTCTGGGCAGTCATAAACTCTCCCACTCATAACATTTATATTACTTTTACACATTAATGATGAATTAGCAGTTGGCGGGTCCCCCCAGCAGCCATCATTCCAATGAGCATCCACACTCTTTTCCTTTGGTTGGAACTGTGGCTAGCGATAAAGATTTCTTTCTTTCTTTCTTTTTTTAAAGAGGTTTTTGCGGTAGGGCGAGTGCGCTCACCAGACAGACAGAGACAGAGAGACAGAAAGCGAGAAATCACCCCCCAGGGGGGATGGCCATGCTGTAATCCCTTCTCCTTCATTCTCCGCTCAGGATCTTGGTCACGCAAGCACACGCGCCCAGCATGAGTTTTAAGCCACCGGGGCTGGGATGCGAACCGCGGTCGACTACATGGGAATCCAGTGACATAGCCATTACACTAACTGCTGGTCTCGCGATAAAGATTTCTGTGGACAAACACATATCTGATTTTTTGTCATCTCAGCCATATATCTCATTTGCTTCTTCGGGTGAGACAGCGCCTCCCATTTCTAGATCAAATGAAAGCATTTGGTCCAAGCTGAAATCAGACAAAGAATTTCAGGCTTCCTAGCCTCCACATTCATGCATGAATCACTGTATGGAATGACAGAAGTCAGACAATGCTGATTTGAGGGAAATTTCTCTTTAATCCCAAGGGAAGCTTTTGTGTTAGGCTGGAGGACAAAAGGCAAAACGAAAACCAGCTCCAATGGCTGGAATGACTTTAATTTCTTCTGTGGGCTCAAAGTGAAGAGTGGGGAGTTGGGACCAGATGGTGTAATGGTTATGTTGCTGTGCTCCCATATAGTCAACCACGGCTCAAGTCCCTGACAGGGTGGCTTAAACTCAAGCCGGGTACGTGTGCGCGTGTGCCCAAGATCCTGAGAGGAGAATGGAGGAGAAGGGATTGTGGCGTGGCCATCCTCCTGGGGGGTAATTTCTCTCTGTCTCTCTGTCTCTCTCTGTCTTTCTGGTGAGCACATGTGACCTATAGCAAAATCTAAAAAAAAAAAAAAGAGAGAGAATGGAGAGTTTAGAGGTTCTGAGTCACCTGACCTATAAATATTTGAATTATAAATCTAAAGCAATTCTCCTGACTATGGCTCATCTCGCTAATGTTTAGGGACCATCCATTCTAGCCTGATGGAATGTTTTCAGGGACGTTCTGTAGCCACTGGAACCTGCAGCACTGTTTTTGCTTCTTATGTTGAAGAGTTTTTTTTTTTTTTTGGAGAGGTTTTTGCTATAGGGCACGTGTGCTCGCCAGAAAGACAGAGACAGAGAGACAGAAAGCAAGAAATCACCCCCCATGGGATCTCCTCTCGGGATCTTGGGCACACACGCACACACACCCAGCTTGAGTTTAAGCCACCGAGTCCGGGACTCAAAATGTGGTCGACTACATGGGAGTCCAGCCACACAGCTCTTACGCCAACTGCTGGTCCCATATGTTGAAGAGTTTTAACACATAAATAAAGTGAAAGGGAGTTTGAGAGGTGGGAGGAAGAGGATTTTTTATATGTTACGTATTTTTGAGGTGGCAATGATAAGAGGAGAAGATGCCAGAAAGTTGAAACCAGGTAAGGAAGTCATGTGCTTGGGTGGTTTCTCATTTATTCATTAAAATGATGTATCTTGAGTGCCTGCTGCGCATCAGACAAGCACATAAATAAACAGGGGGATCTCAGGCAGCGACTAATCAATGAGGAAGATGCCGTGGCGATAGGATGGAGAGTGACGGGTGGAGGGTGACGGCCAGCACCTGGTGACTTGACTTTGGGTGGTCAGGGAAGGCCTCTCAAAAGAGGTGACACCTGAGCGGAGAACCAGATGACAAGAAGAGCCAGCCCTGGATGGAGCTATCTTTAGCAGTCAGTGTAGCCTGTGTCTCTGTGGTCTGATTATTTGGAGGTAAACCCAGGCAGGGGTTCTTTGAAAAGGAAAACAGGAATCCGGATTTCTAGGCTCGTTTTGCCCCAGCCTTCTGGGCTTTATCTCTGACCCTGTGAGGCACCCCTCTGTTTTCTGAGTGGCTCTTGGGTTCTGTTGAGAGCAAAGCCAGCAGAATAAACAGTAATCAGAGTCCAGGTCTCTAAAGGTGTAGGAGCTGAAGAAAACCCAAGGTTAAGTGGAAGAGAAAGAAAAAGGAAGGCGCTGCAAGAAAACAGAGATGCCTGAAGCTCTTTTGGTTTCTTTTATGTGCACACTTTGGTGGGAATGATTAAAAAACTGATGGAAGGGTGAAATGTTTATCAGAAGATCAAAACCCAGCCCTTCACCTATAGTATACTGTAACTACTTTAATATTTTAATGGTCTGCTAAGAACACCTAGAAGTCCTTCTCTTTAGTAAATGAAACAATAAAGATTAACGACTTAATTTGGTAAAGCTGATTTGAATTGCACAGAAGGCATTGCGTAACTACTTGGCTTTTAAAAAGTTATCTGACATTTGAAAGGAGATGACTGTTAATGAATTCAAGAGCTAATCTTACACTCTGACAGAGTGAGCCCTGGAAAACCCAGGATTATTATCTTGTAAACATAATGTGGTTCAGTTGAGCTATCAAACAAAAGAGAACTACCAGCTGTATACAAATACCCACATGCACACACATAAAGGCGTAGCAAAATTTAAGGAGGACATCCATTAAATTGAAGTCAGTACTTACTCTTGGATTATAATAGCAGAAGGAAACCCTTCTTACCAATAAGTTTTCCTCCTCCTTTTAATGTGTGTATTTTGAAGGGTTACCCTAAGGGTTGGCTTTACCCACAGGTCTTGGGATGTTTAACTTTTTTTTTTTTTTCTCTTTAGAGAGAGATTTCTGCTATAGGGCATGTGTGCTCACCGGAGAGACAGATGGAAAGTCAGAAATCATCCCTCGGAGGGGATGGCCACACTGCAATCTCTTCTCCTCCATTCTCCTCTTGGGATTTGGGGCACACACCCATACGTGTCCGGGGTGAGTTTCAAGGTGCTGGGTCCCGGACTTGAACTGGGGTCAACGATGTGAGAG